GTATGAGCTCTGGACCAAAAAAAAAAAAAAAAAGAAGAAGAAGAAAAAGAAGAAGAAGAAGAAGAAGCAGTTGGGCCATTAATCATTGAGAATATTTTGAATAGGAACTTGATTAAAGCACAGTATGTGTTCCCCAGCCGAAGCTGCTTCTTTGCAGTGACCACAGTGGAAGCCTGGCCTCCCGGGGCCGGCTGTGCCTTTGCGGGGCGCCTCTTCGAGGGCTCCCGGGCGGGCTCTGGCGCCTTGCCAGGCTTGGGACGGCCGCAGGCCGGGAGGGGGTCTTGACCTGTGCAGCCCGGCTTTTCTCAAGCAGGCACACCTCCCACCGGCACCCAGGCGGTGTCGGGCTTCAGCGCACAAAGTCGAAAGGGGCGGTGGGGGCGACCTGCGGGCCCGGGAGGCCCCACGGGAGCCCGGCGGCGGCCCCCCGCCCCCACCCGCGATCCCGGGATAGAACCGCGAGGCGCCACGTGGCTGGGGAGACGCGGGGCCTTAAACCCCTTCCCCCGGCGGCAGTGAATGCGGAGGCGGCGGCCAAGGGGCACCCGGGCCTGGCCACCTTGTTCCCCAAGATCCCGGGAACCAAGAGCCCTTCGAACCATCGGCAGGGTTCTCCCAGTAGGTGCTCGGATTCTGGGACGCCCCGGCTCCCTTGGCACCCCCGTTCCCACCAGAATGGGCGGGGAGTGGGGGGACACAGTGGATCCTGGTCCCGTTGACCGCCAACCCCGCTTTGGGATCGCCGTCCCGAGTCAAGTTCGCCCCCTCCCTCTATGCGCCCCACCTCGCCCCGGTACCCCAGCCCTGGAATCCAGCTGGGCCCGTCCCGCAGGAAAGAATTGGCGGCCCAGGGCCGGGTGGCAGCGCCAGCCCCGCGCGCCTAGCAGCCCTAGCGCTACGGCTAGGAGAAGTAATCAAAAAGAAAAAGTTTTCCAGCCCAAGCGGATGGACCGGCCGGGTGCTCCAAGCTCCCCCGCCGCAGCCGCCTCCCATTCCCTCCGCTCCTCGCAGGGTCCTAGCGCCCGGCGGTGCAGAGCCCGCGGGACCCCAGAGGACTGTGAGAGGCGGAGCGGGGGAGAGGTACTTCTGCGAGGAATCAGTGGGGTCGCCTGGAGATCAGAGATAAAGACGCAAAATCACCGCGCTCCAGCACGCTTCCCTCGGCCTCTCCGTGCCGCTGTGTGCACTGGGCCACACGTCCCAAACTGTTCCCTGCCTCCCACCCCCGGCTCCGGCCCCTTCTGCACGCCACCGCCTAGCAGAGACGCGGCTCCCGAACAGGACTAGTTCTAGCTTTTAAAGCAGGTCCGCGCCGCAGTAGCTCAGAGACCAAGACTGGCCCTCCACCAGCCCCCCGCCAGCTCGTCCCCCCCGGCCCCGCCCCGCCCCGCGCAGCGTCTGGGTGCTCCCGGACTCCCCGACCGTTGGCTGGAAGTGGGTGCCTTGGGGAAGCTAGAGGAGGGGGCCCAGTCACCGACCACGTGTGTGCGGGGGCGACAGCCCGGCCCAGGGTGGGGCATCGCGCGCGCGTCCGGGTCCGGCTGGCGGGGCAGGGGGTTAGTGGGCGTTGCGCCGGGGCCTCTCGCGGCCCGCGCCGCGCTCCGGCCCCACTCACCACCCCCTCCGGAAGGCAGGCGCTAAGACCCAGGAGGCGCCGCTCCGCCGTCGGACTCTAAAGGGCGACGCCCCCGGTATAAATGCTGGGCCCGCGCGGGCCTGGCCATTCGCGACCTGGAGCTGCGCGGGCGCGAGGGAGTTGGGGCTCCGGGTGGGCGGTGGCAGCATTGGCACCCCGCGCAGGCTGGAGGCCGCCGAGGCTCGCCATGCCGGGAGGACTGTAGCTCCCCCATGGAGTCGGCCGACTTCTACGAGGCGGAGCCGCGGCCCCCGATGAGCAGCCACCTCCAGAGTCCCCCGCACGCGCCCAGCAGCGCCGCCTTCGGCTTTCCCCGGGGCGCGGGCTCCGCGCAACCCCCCGCCCCACCTGCCGCCCCGGAGCCGCTGGGCGGCATCTGCGAACACGAGACGTCCATCGACATCAGCGCCTACATCGACCCGGCCGCCTTCAACGACGAGTTCCTGGCCGACCTGTTCCAGCACAGCCGGCAGCAGGAGAAGGCCAAGGCGGCCGCGGCCCCCGCAGGAGCCGGCGGCGGCGACTTTGACTACACGGGCGCCCCCGGGGGCCCCGGCGGCGCCGTGATGCCCGGAGGGGCGCACGGGCCCCCTCCTGGCTACGGCTGCGCGGCGGCCGGCTACCTGGACGGCAGGCTGGAGCCCCTGTACGAGCGCGTCGGGGCGCCGGCGCTGCGGCCGCTGGTGATCAAGCAGGAGCCGCGCGAGGAGGACGAGGCGAAGCAGCTGGCGCTGGCCGGCCTCTTCCCCTACCAGCCGCCGCCGCCGCCGCCCCCGCCGCACCCGCACCCGCACCCGCCGCCCGCGCACCTGGCCGCCCCGCACCTGCAGTTCCAGATCGCGCACTGCGGCCAGACCACCATGCACCTGCAGCCCGGCCACCCCACGCCGCCGCCCACGCCCGTGCCCAGCCCTCACCCAGCGCCGGCTCTCGGCCCCGCTGGCTTGCCAGGCCCTGGCGGCGCGCTCAAGGGGCTCGCCGCTGCGCACCCCGACCTCCGCGCGGGCGGCGGCGGCGCGGGCAAAGTCAAGAAGTCGGTGGACAAGAACAGCAACGAGTACCGGGTGCGGCGCGAGCGCAACAACATCGCCGTGCGCAAGAGCCGGGACAAGGCCAAGCAGCGCAACGTGGAGACACAGCAGAAGGTGCTGGAGCTGACCAGTGACAATGACCGCCTGCGCAAGCGGGTGGAACAGCTGAGCCGCGAACTGGACACGCTGCGGGGTATCTTCCGCCAGCTGCCCGAGAGCTCCCTGGTCAAGGCCATGGGCAACTGCGCGTGAGGCGCGGGGCGGCGGGACCGCCCTGGGCCGGCCGCCGGCTGCGACCCAGGGAATGGTTTCGGGTCTCCGGATCTCAAGACTGGCCCAGCGGCGCAAGCCGGGACTAGGAGATTCCGGTGCCGCCAGAAAGCCTGGCCTACCGCGCGCGCCCCTTGCCTTCCTCCGCGCCAGATTCGGTGCGTCTAAGATGAGGGGTCAGGCGATGGTTTCTCCCTGCAGGAGAGGAGAAGTGCTGTGGGGCTGAGCCGGGAGCCCCGGCAACTCTAGTATTAAGGAATAACCTTGTGCCTTGGAAACGTAAACTCACCGCTCCGATTCCTACCGAGTAGGGGGAGCAAATATGTGCCTTGTCATTTTATCTGGAGGGTTCCTGCCTCATTTCTGAGGCTGCAGGCCCCCAGGAGAGAAGGCAATGTGCAGGCCCACGGCAGGAGGAAGATTCAGGGAGCAGAGATCCCGACAAGCCAGCCCTAGCCGCTCCTCCAGCGCCTGTCCTTGGAAGGGAGGAAATACAGGGACTTCGAAGGTTGTTCCCCCAGTTCTACACGAAGGTGGAGGGTCCCTAGTTCCTTGCTTCTAATCTTCCAGCCTGCAACAGGGAGGCACTTAGATGGGGGTCACTGGGTGACCGGTGGGAGCCCCCTGCCCCCAGTCAGACCAGAAAGCTAGGACAGGGGTTAGTTCTCCGGACATGTGTTCATGGGAGTGGCGGCCTGGTGGCGCAGGGACACCTAGAGCTCTGGTCCGGGGGGGGGGGGGGGGGGGGGGGGTGAAGGGACCCTGGTACCATCAGCCTTGTACTGTATGTTGCCAGCATTGCCATACAAACATGAAGCACAATCTGTCCATCCCAGAGGGACCGAAGTTATGAGAAGCTTTCCAAATATTTTGCTTTATCAGCCGATATCAACACTTGTATCTGGCCTCTCTGTCCCAGCGGTGCCTTGTGCAATGTGAATGTGCACGTCTATGTTAAACCACCATTTTATTTGGTTTTTGTTTTGTTTTGGTTTTGCTCAGATACTTGCCAAAATGAGACTCTTTGTCAGCAGCTGCAGGGAGGGTCTGCGGCTCTCTTTCCTTTTGGTTTTTGGGGATTGCTTTTGCTCCCAGGGGAACCAAAGAGGTGAGGTGGGCTTCCTCTTTCCCTGGGGGGTGGGGGGGCTGTGGGCCTCAGTGCCCTCCGGCCTGGGCCACCCACAGGCCTGTCCCCCCAGAGGCCCTGGCTCCTGGTCTGGAAGGGAGGCGGCCTCCAGCCAGCATGCATAGATTGCTGGGGCTGGGAGCAGGGAAGGACAGCTTGGTTCTCTCCTTTGGGGAGAACGTAGAGTTTCATGCTAGATGTTTTATGTATTATATCTATAATATAAACATATCAAAGTAAATTTTGGTGTCTTTTTAAAACCAGAAAAGCTACTTCCAATGTTTTCTGTGGGCCAGGTCACATTTGTAAATAATCACTGCGTATTCTCTGGCTGAGATCCTGACTTTCATTAGCTCTCCCATCCTGAGCCCCTCTTTACATTAAGGGGGTGACTTCTCCCAACCAAGGCAAATAAACGGCAGAAGGAGGGCAGGCTCCAAGCTGAGAAAGCCCAAAGCCTGAGGCAAGAGTGTCCCGGGGGGCGAGTTTGAGGGGGGTTCACAGGGCCTTGGTGTGGCCTCTCCTGGGCCCCTGAGAGGAGCAGAGGGACTCAGAGAAGGACCCCTCTGCCTGACCTTGCCACGGGCTCTCTGGGACTTGAACAGGTCTGGCTGGTGGCTCCAGGCTCCGGGGGCCCTTCGGCCACGTTTGCTTCTAGATCACTCACAGCTCTAGCTCTGTAGAAGCCTTGCTCATACCCGCCCTGCCTTCCCCACCAGCAGGACCCAGGGAGGGCAGGGGGAGGCCTCAAGCAGGAGGCCTCTCTGCCCCTCCCCACTTGCTCTGGGTTGTATGGCTGTAGCCTACCCCAGCAGGGCCCCGAAGGGCAGCCTGAAGGCCGAGCACCCCTCCGCCCCACCTTCCATGCCTGCCCTGCCCCAGCCAACCCCCCGGAAGGGGACCCGCATTGAGTATGTGGTCCTTGACCCATACCACCTGGCAAGGAGCCAGCACCAGTACGCACTCTCCCCACTGTGCCCACCCTGGACCACGTCCCCACTCAGGCGACTGCCCTAGGAGGACAGGCACCCCGGCAACCCCTCAGCAGCAGTGATAGCCAACCAGAGGGGCCCACACTCACGCCTGATAGAATCAGGCCTGGCAGGAAGTAGCACAGGAGGCTGGCTGGGCTTTCAGAGTTTACTCTCGCTGAGGGTAAAAGGCAGACACTCTTTACCTTCTATTTTCACCCCGGGAGGATTCACTGGAGCAGCTTACCACGTATGCCAATGTGGGCTGAGACAGTTTCAAGAAATTACACACTCCTTTTCGACTCTGAAAACTTTAGTTTTTCCTGCCCCGTGTGGTTAACAGGGGTACCTTGCCCCCTTCCCGCCCCGGCCCCCGCCCTCTCTGTCCTGTGTCTTGCTGCCTCCTTGCCCATGGCCGCTCTTGGCCGAGGAAAGGCCACGAGCCCAGTGTGGAGGCAGCTGCCTGCCCCACCGCCCTGGGAACCAAAGAGGCAGAGCCCCACTGCCTGCCTAAGGCCTAGGGCAGGCCACGGCTTGCTAGGCCCCAGCAAACCCTCTCTGAGTTCAGTGCTAATTCCAGTTTTTCTTGTTTGAGGGGGCCAAACCTCAGCCTCCCCCTTTGCCCCCAGAACAGATCCCAGGATGAGCAGGGGAGGGCCACCCCTCCTGCCTGCCCTCCTCCCTCTCCCCTCCCACTGCCTCATCTCCCGGGTTTCCTCTTTCAAAGCTGTCAGCCTACAGAGGGGCACCCCTCCTACTGTAGACCCTGAGGTCCAGGGTAGACTTTGTTGGGGACAAGACAGATCCAACCAAAGCCAACCCTAGGGAAGGTATGGGGCCAGCAGGGGCCCCCAGGGGACAGAGCAATTGGCCAAGGGGAGGGGGCAGTGTGGGGCGAACCTACCCGGCATGTGCTCTGTGCCTGGCCAGAGGGGCCCCCGGGGAAGAGCTGCTCCTTGCCACCCACTGCTTCCTGCAGGGCCCCCATGGTTCCCCTCCTGACTGCAGCCTTTGTGAAGAACCACTCCAAGAGCCTGGCACTGAACACACCCCAAGTATTTATTGGAAGTCTACTGGGTGCCAGGGCCTGTGCCAAGGATGGGTCACTCAGCTGGAGACAAACAGACTTGGCTCCTACTCTCCGTAGCTCACAGTCTTGTGGTCCCAAGATGTAGTTTAAGGGTGACAAGTGCAATAAAGGGAAGCTCAAAGTGTGTCTAGACGCCACCAGGGAAGGCTTCCTGGAGGCAGCGGTCTGATCCAAGACCTGGTCATGGACCCATTCCAACATGCCTGGATGCCTCTGCCTTGTACTCTCTCAGGAGAGGTAGGAGGGACCTCGCCCCCTCGGTGGGCCACCTGAGCCTGGTGGCCCCTGAGATCAGCGCTGCTCAGAGGAGCCAGCCTCCAGGGAAGAAGCAAAGGTAAAAGGGAGAGAGGGAGGTTCTCCTTTGCTGCCAGATGCCTCCTGATGGTTTAGCACCGTCACGGATGTCACCCTTATCTCCTGGATCTCCTGGGAATTTGTGAACATGGGGTTTGGCCCTGACACCTGTGATGAGCCACTGGGACTGGTGAGGAGTGTCTGCCCCTCCCAGGTCTCCCGCCCCCTCCTTCCCAGGCAGGAACCTGCCAGGCCTCCTCCAGAAGCTGCTGATTTCATGGGAGGAGAGAGGGCAGTGGGGAGAGAAAGGGAAGCCAGTCAAGGGAGAGCAGAAACCCTGACCTTGCTCATCCGTGAGGCCTGTCCTTCCAGGCACCCACAGCCCTTCTGCAGACACGGGGTAGGGTCCTTGCCTGGACGGTGGCTCTGTCCCATCTGTTTATTTCCTATATTGGCGGGTGGGGAAGGCCTTTCTCGTCTTTTCCTTAAATAGAATTAAACCACCAGCACCTTTGAAAGATCTTTCTTGTCTCTGTGAAAGATGATACTCTCTCTCTTCTCTTGATGCCCCCCCCCACTTCTCCCCTCCCTCAGCCCCTCTCTGTGCATGGAGCATTTGACGTAAGCAGAGACATAGGAAAGATACCAATTCACTATCAAAGCATCCTAGCCCCATCCCAGAGCAATTAAAAAGCCAGATGGAATCTCTGGGAAAACGGCATTAATAACGCGAACAATCTGTGTAGGCCGGCAGGGACCCAGGAGCTGCAGGCGGGGGCAGGGGGGGAAGCTGCGATGCAGGAGCGTGAGCTCGCACCAATGCTTCAGCCTTGCTGTGGCCAGCCGGGGATGGGGCCATCTCAGGGGGATGCCTAGATCTGGCTACAGCTGGGCTCTCCCCGCCAGCCTCCTGCAGGGCCCACTGTGCATCCTGAATCCCGGTCACTGCAGATGGAGCCAGACAAATGTGGAACCCATTACTCATGCAGTCACAGCCTCAGCCAGCCCCATTCTGGCACCCAAGAGCTTTGCTTCCCTTCACTTTTGTTTTTATTTATTATTTTTCTAGCCTTCTGGCCCCACCCACTAGGAACAGGCCTCCCTACGCGATACCTTCCAAAGATCCCCTTTCTCTTCCTTCGCCGTGCCCAAGCCCACCGCCCTTGCCGGGGAACAGCAGAAGATGGTGTTGGCACACCATGGGGCCTGAACCCTAGAGGTCCCCCTTTGACTGCAGAGTGGGTGGGCGCTCAGGGCAAGGAGGCCAGCTGGGCTCTCAGAAGCGACATGATTGGTAGGGGAGCAGGGCACGGGGGTTCACACTACCTGGCTACCCTCAGGGGCCCCCAGGGGCTGGACAAAGACTACAGGAAAAGGATCTGCTATTGCTCTGAAGCCCTCTCTGGGCAGAGCCAAGAAGTAGGACCCTTTTATTTTTCTTTAGGGAATGGAAGTAGTCCTGTTTATTTTACTTTATTTTATTTTACTTTTTTATTTATTTTATTTTATTTTATTTTATTTTATTTTATTTTATTTTATTTTATTTTATTTTATTTTATTTAGACCCTTCCTTATCCCCATTCTTCAGACCATGGTTGGAGGCCCACCTGAGGCCAGCTGAAAGATACATAGTTTTCTTAGAGCGATCAAGGTGGGATAGAAAGTGGTTTTTTTTTAAACATCCTTTGTGCTTTTTATGTACCCAGAGAGCCACTTTCTGACCTTCATCTTCCCTGTCCCCACCCTCCACCTTCACCCTCACCCTGTCTGGAAACTGTTCTCCCCAAGGTCACCATGAACTCCTGGAGCCAAATGACATGAACTTGCCTGGGATCCTGCCTTTCTTGGCTTCCTGCTGAATTTGGCCTGCGTCTGGCCTACGGCAAGCCTTCAACACATGTGTCTGAATGCATGGCTCTCTCTGCAACTCCCCTCTCTCCTTGCTTAAGAAACATCCTCATTCCCTCCTTTCCACACAAGGGTCCACTGGGTTGGCCTGAGGTCCTCCCGAGGGGCTCGAGGGACCAGGGTTCACCATTATGGGAGCAACGAAAGGCCTAAGAAAGGTAATCTATCTGGTTCTAGATAATCCTCAACACCTCTGTGTGATTAGTTTAGCACCAGAAGCAGGGGCTAGCCAGGCCCCAGGAGATGGTCAGCTCCATAGGGAGGGTGGACAGGAGGAGGCGGGCTTTCCGGAAGAGAAGAGAGGGCTGGGGACGGGCAGTACAGGATGCCCCAAGCTTGCCAAAGCTGCTCAGACATATGGGCAGCTGGGATCACGGCGTTTCTGCTGTGAAGGTCTAAACCTCAAAGACGGTTTCTTTGTATCTCTCCTCTTGTCCCCACTCCAGGATGACCGGCAAAGTCAATATTGAGGGACTGAGGACAGGATCACCAGTGGCCCAACCCGGTGGCCTAGGGCCAGGGCATGTCACCCAGTGATCCAGACAGGGCCTCAAGGAAGCCATCACAGCCTGTCCCAAGCCTTCTACATCTGATGGTATTTCTGCGCCTTGGCCAGTAGCCGCCAGCCTCTCACCAGAAAGAAAGCCTCTCCTCCCTGAGCAGCCTTTGTCCCTTTCTTGCCCAGCCACGGAGGCCTCAGGGAGCACCTCCCACCTCCCTCCCGAGCCAACCGGAGCGCTCTCCCGGTGCCCTCCAGGACACCGTGCTGGTGAGGAAACTCGGCTGATTATGGCGGCCCTTCTCTCGGGTCCGTTGGGCAATGGTCTCGACTGGACGTGCGGCATAACCCCTGCCCGGAGAGCAAGGTGGCATCAGAGGTGTCTGCCTGCCCCCAGAGAGGTGCTGTGACCTTCGATGTCAGGTTTGGACCCGTCTGAAGTAGCCTCCCGGAGTGATTTACAATTTGCAAACACGTTTTATTTGATTCCTCAGTTTTGCTAGAGCAATTACAGTGACTAAGCATGACAAATCACTCCCATCACGGTGTCTACTCGCTGTTAGGAAATGTGTTCGCTTCACTATTTTGCCTGGTGCGGCAACATTTTAAAAATAGACTCATTCACTGTACTTGAAGGCAATTTGTTCCCAATTTTCCCACTAATTTGATTTTAATCTGATATTTAAAATTCGTGTGACCACATTCCCACTGATTTATAGGGAATAAGCCCTACCTGGCAGCAGTTTAATTGGCCTTAACCCATAAGTCCACAGGACAAAGGATTTATCCCAGAACAATTTGAAGACACTGGTGTCGGCAATGCTTCAATGTACGTCTAAGTCAGCATATGGCAAGTGCCACTGGCCTGGGGCCACTAACAGCGGGTGTGGGCTGAGGGCCTCTGCCACTCTCCTTCAGGACCCTGACACATAGTAGGCCAACAGTCCTCGCTGAGCAGATGCATGGAGCCCAGATGTCCTGGCCCGGTGCGTGCCTGACCAATGCATAGTCGGGTTCTGGGGGAAAGCCCTTTGTTACTAGAAGTTTCCTCTTTCTCCCATCCCGTGATCAGGTTGGGTCCTGGGAGGAGGGCCCTGCAGCTCTCGCACCAGCTGAGTCCTGGCTTTGCCTGCTCCTGACAGTGTGGCCCTCACCGCAGCTCTTGATTTCTCAGAGCTTCGGTCTCCTTTTAGGCAAAATGTATGCAAAACGAGCACCCCCGTCAGTCATCCAGTTGTTGTGAAAGGTTAACAGGCAAAGCTTGTGAGACACTTGGCTCAAGGTAATGAGATTACTGTGCGTTAGGGCAGGAGGCAGGGGGCGTTGGGGAAGGCACGACTTGGTCCCTGAAAAAGCCCCGTGGAAGGAGACAGTCGTCGGAATAATGAGGGCAAAATCCTTGCATCCGGAGTAACCAAGTTCCTGAAGTCATTTTGATCTGGCTTCGATTTTTTTTTTCCCCCAGGGATGCCTTTTATTTGCTTAGAAGGCAAATAAATTTATTTGCTTAGAAGGCTTAATGAGATTCTCCCCGGCGCAGAGCCCTCCTGTGGGTGACCCTGCAGCCTGAGCACGGTGGTCAAACTCTTCTTCACGGACAGCACTGGGACCAGCAAGGGTGTCATGGGAGAAGATTCTTGATCCAAGGGCAGAATCCTCAGTGACGACTTCTGGTCATTGAGAGCGTTCTCACTGGGGCATCAGCCTCCCCAAATCCTGAAAGACCACCCCCCACCCCACCTGCCAACACTACAGGCCTCCCGTTAACTCCATTCTATTTGGAAAGCTGGGACCTCAGTGAGTGCGGTGGCCCTGGCGTTCCCTTGCTGGTGGCAGGAGAGCAGAAGGATGTGCTATGGGGGGAGACACCTCCTGCCCCTTTGCCCACCCTCCATTCCCCACTGGGTCATCTCAACCCTTGGCCAAACAGTTGGTTCCCGTTTGCCCGAGCTAGCTCGAGCCCAGGAAGTGAGGTGGGAGGCTGCCCTCCACCCTGTGGGGAGGCCTGATTGGGATCCTGGAGGGGTGAGGAGGGGCCACAGAAGCAGGTGGGAGGCGGCCTGGGCCACACTTACGCTCCCTTAGAGATGGGGCCACCAGCTGGAAAGAGCTCTGGAAACCGGCCTTGCTTTTCCCCTTGCTGCCAGGAAGGCCAACATGAGAGTAACGCAAGTTAATGAGCAAACTCCTCAGGCAAGGAAGGCAGGCAGCTCTCGGGCACCCCCATCTCCCTGCTCAAGCACAAGACAGCAGTTGGATGCCCCTGGCCGAACCAAGGGAGGGCAGCAGGTATGGAGAGAGGCCAGGAGGCCTTAAATCATCGGTCGGCCGGGCTGGGTGCAGGGCCTCAGCAGGAGGGAGGGCAGCCATGGGATGCGGGCGACTCCCCGGGGAGAGTGGTGCCGTGTGGGCATGGGCATGGGTGCAGGGGTGTGCGGGGTGCGTTCGAACCTGGAGCTGATTTGGAGCCTTGGGCTGGAGGAGTGTCCATGCCCAGGAGGGGTGAAGGGTCCTCCCAAGAGCAATTCCCAAGTTCACCAAAGCTGGACCTCTATTTGAGGAGCGGTCTCACCTGGGAGAGGTGGAGGCCTGTGAGTCACGGGCCAGGCCCCTGAGCCCAGGGGAGGTGGGGATGATGGCTCCCAGCCCGAAATGTGTCAGAAGCACGATGAGCATCTTGAGTGATGCGCAGTCTATGTAATTATGTGGGGCAGTGCTGCTCGGGGTGTGTGTGAACCAAACGAGAAAGGAGAGCAGCCTCGTGCCCGGGTCTTCTACCTCCCTGGCTGCACCCCAGGCTCGGAGAGAAGCCCTGGGTCTCAGGACCCGTGACAAGACAGGGCAGGGGCGGGATCAGCACCTGGGCTCCTACACATGTCGACCAGGGGGGAATAGTTTGACCCTCTCCACCCACAAATCCACCCAGGGGAGTGAAACACTCATGTTTTCCTAAGACTCTCTTCTCTGGCTTTAGTTCACGACACCCTCCCCTTCCCCCGCCTCCACCCAGCATTCCTCAACTTAATTTACTTTAGTTTTTTTTAATTTTTAAAATTAAATCAACTGCATATTGTTTGGAACATCTTGGAGATTTTCAGAAATTGGAATGGCATGTCAGAGACATTGCAGAGCCAGGTTTGGGGTCCCACATGACCCACCCCCCATCTTCATGCATCAGGGGATGGGAGACGGCTGCCATTGGCGGTCTCTTGCTGCTTTCCTTATGAGACAAGCCTCTGCGACTGGTACCCCCAAAGCACAATGGTTTGGAGGCACCTGCTGCTGGGCGTGGGGGAATCTGGCGCCTGCCAGAGAGCCAGGGTGGGACTGGGGCCTCAGTGAGCCTCCACTGTGGAACTGCTCCCAGAACTCAGGTCCCGATGCTAGTTACACAAGGGCTTGGCCTGCATTCCCACCCACCGGGGGCGTGAGACCGTGTGTGTCCTGGCCTCGCCACACACCTGCTGTGTGACCAGGCGCAGGTTTGGCAGCCTCTCTGTTTGAGCATGTCTGAGAGGTGTGCCAGGATCCCCAGAGGCAAGATGATGAATGGGTGTCCCTTCAGAACAGAGCAACCACAAGAACCTGATCCCAGGACGAGTCACACCGAGGAGGACCAGGACCAGGCCTCCTGGAAGCCGAGAGGGGAACATGAGTCAGAAACAAAGTAACCCGCCTGCCAGCCAGGTCACTCTCCTGCCCAAGAGAGCTTAGGGGTGGGAGCCAGAGGACTGTAGGACCCAGGCTTGGGTGATTTCTCTCCTATCTCTGGATCCCAGCTTCTAGATGCTTGCCATCCAGGTCATAGGTGGTGCTGGTGGGCTGGACAGTGAGGGACATTAGTGCTCCTTGGCCCATGTTGGAGGACCCCAAGGTGGTGCGGGCATCATCAAGCCTTCTTCAGCTATGGCAAAGGGACATTCTAGGACATCCCCTCCTCCTTAAGTCCTCCTACCCCAGCCAGGACTAGACTGTATCAGCCAGCTGGTCAATGAGTCTCCCCCAAGTACCCTTGAGAGCCCAGACTGGAGACCAGCCATAGAACAGGGAGACTGGGGTCAGAGGAGAGAAGAGGCACAGTATCTAAGAAGAGGATGTCTCCATCAGTACTGAATCAGGGAGGGACAGAGGCCTCCCTCACCCCACCCAGCCATGCCACTATACCCCCAGTTGACTATGGAGGGACCTGGGGAATGGCATTCTGCTCTCTCCCGGTGACTGGGCAGTAAGGCCTGTGGGAGAAAGAAGGAACAGGAGGATGCAGCTGGGGGTGAGCTGCAGAGGCAGAGACAGGCAAGAGTTGATTTTTTCACCCTTTTCTTGTGTCCTTTGCTACACTGAACTTGGTATTGTATGGCAGCATGGCCCTTGGCCAAGAACAGACTGGGTCCACAATATCCCATTGGTATCTTTTGAGCTCTAGGTTGTCTGAAACATGGAGTTCTATCACCAAAGGATAACTGACCACTAAATGGTTCAATGCATCCCTTCATGTATTCATTCATTGGTTCCAGAAAATTCTTACCTGTTAACACTTAAAACACTGCCTCTACTCCATTTCCCCTCTCTCTTGCCTCCCTCAGGGGTAACATTAAACATATGTTAGACCCTCTCTTCCTCCTTAGCTCATGTCGTCTCTTCCATACTCTCCTTTTGTCTCTATGTGCTACATTTATGATAATTTCTTCTGACTTCTCTAATTCCCTAATTTCTTTCTCAGCTGTGTTAACTCTGCTGCTAAATCCATCCATTGGGTTTTTGACTTTGGTCATTGTAGTTTTCATTTCTAGAGATTCAGCTTGATTCTGTTTTCAGATCTGCGATGTCACTTTTTACACATTCCCATCTCCTGCAAGTTATTTTTAAGTATGTCTTATTTCTTTAAACATTATTTGCATAGTTCTTTTTTTAATTTTTTTTATTTTTAAAGATTTTATTTATTTATTTGACAGGGAGAGACACAGTGACAGAGGGAACACAAGCAGGGGGAGTGGGAGAGGGAGAAGCAGGCTTCCTGCAGAGCAGGGAGCCCGATGCGGGGCTCGATCCCAGGACCCTGGGACCATGACCTGAGCCAAAGGCAGAAGCTTAATGACTGAGCCACTCAGGCACCCCTTGCATAGTTCTTTTATAGTCAATAATTTGAAGTCTTAAGGGTCTATTTCTGTTTTCTGTGGGTTCTTCTTCTTCTTTGAACTCAGTGTCTTATTTTTCTTATGTGTCTGATCATCTTTGACTGTGTGCTGGTTATCGTTTTAGAAAAGGAAATGTTTGAAAGAAAAATTTGAGATTTAGGACAAAAGCACCTTCCACCAGAGAACACTTTTACTTGCTCCTGCCAAACACTGAGGAATACTGCTAGTCCAGAACCACCTTAATCAACCTGAAGGCTTGAGTTTCCCTGGCCCATCCAGATGAGAACTTAGATTGCAAGATCATATGAGGGCTGGTCTACTTCTGGTTCACCCTTATCCTGAGGGTGTAGCCCTTTGGAGTCCCACATCAATGTGGGATGGGATCTTATTATATGCCCCACCTGTGTGTGCCCTGGGGTTTGATATCTATCTCTTTCATTCCATGAGACTGTCAAAATAGAATTCAGTTTCACTGGAATCAGAAAACACATCAAGAAAAAAAAGTGGCTTTTCTTTCTGCCTACCTGTCTGGATTCCGCCCCCCCACCCCACCCCATTTTGGCCTGGCAATTCCCTTTTATACTGTCAAGCCTTCAGTGCTTAGAGTATTTTTTTTTTTAATTTATGCAGCATTTTTTAGATGATTTTAGTGCAAGGTAGGCCCAAATAACCTAGTCTGCCATCACTGGTAGCTGGAAGTTCTCCCTTTAGTCGCTCAGTGAGTATTTTGGAGTGCCTACTATGTGCCAGGCAACGTGCTGAGGTGGAGAAGGAAACCAGACAAAGTGGGCTCTTGGGGCACTCACAGACTCTCTGGGGAGACAGACTATAAACAGACAGTTACTCAATTGATTAGTTCATTCCAGTTGTGACGCACACTGTGAAGTAAGGAAGTTCAGGGGTGATGAGAAGGAGCCTTTGCCTGCTTTGTGGACTCCGGGAAGTTGTTCTTGGGAATGTGACTTTTAAGCTGAGATCTGAAGGTCCTGTGGGGATTTGAAAGTCATTGGGTGGGTGCCTGGGTGGCTCAGTCATTAAGCGTCTGCCTTTGGCTCAGGTCATGGTCCCAGGGTCCTGGGATCGAGTCCCACATCGGGCTCCCTGCTCTGCGGGAAGCCTGCTTCTCCCTCTCCCACTCCCCCTTCTTGTGTTCCCTCTCTTGCTGTCTCTTTCTGTCAAATAAATAAAATCTTTAAAAAAAAAAAAGAAAGAAAGAAAGTCATTGGGTGTTGGGTCGAGAGAATCCAGGCAGAGGGAGCAACGAACACAAACCTCGGAAGTGGGAGGGAACATGACATTCTAGGTACTGAAAAGTGTCCAATGTGGTCACAGTACATGGAGCAGGGTAGGGGGTGGAGGAGAAGAGGTGAGGCTGGAGGTCAGGTGTGTCAGAGTATCAGGCTCTCACAAGCAGGGTTTCAGACTTTGGTCAACATCCCAAGAGCAACAGTGGTCACAAGGGCGTTGGGGTTGGGCTTGCTTATTAGGATCACTGCGGGGAAGTGTGGCAAGTGGATTACAGTGGGCAACAGAGCATTTGTGAGGCCCGTGAGGGGGCTTAGTGGCATGGAGGTGAATGGATTCAAGAGATGTTTACAGGGTAAGAAGATTCACCACCAAGCTTGACCACAGAATTGTCCCAGAATGCCTTACCCAACCATGCTGATTATTCTTCATTTGCCCCCTGGATCCACACTGTACCTAGTCTCTGCCCTAGGAGTCTGGCTTGGGTGGGCCACACCAAGGGCCTCCTGTGCCTCTAGCCCCCTGTTGGATTTGGCCAATGGTAGGCACCAAAGACCAGAGGGAGGAGAAGGGAGAGATCGGGTGTTCCTTCTCTACTTGCTGCTTGCCTTAGCACCCCAACTACATGACCCCCAAGGCTACAGTCTCTGTTGGTTAGCCTGTCCTCTGCCCTCCGTGGGCCCACTTCTCATGGGGCTCTGACAACCCTAGTGCCTTGCTTTGCCCCTTGAGCCCCATAGTGGTGACAGTTGCAGCTGGGGCTAGTCTCCGGGGACCTCAACATCCCTTCTTGATTCCCTCAACCCTCATCATACCCCCACATATGGTTCCTTTGTTAACATCCCTTCACTGGAACCATCAGGGGTGAGTTTGGTTTTCTGCCAGGACCCTGAGTGATCACTAAACTCAGGGGGGGTTTTTTGTTTTTTGTTTTTTTTTTTTTTTTTTGCTTTAAAGAATCCGCGAGGCAAATCTGTCTGAGAACCCTGGAGGGGGGCCAGTCCCTCGTGGCAGCCAAAGGGGTGGTGTCAGAGCCCACATGAAGGCCCCGCTGCCGTCTGTGTTCCGTAAACAAACACCCACGTGTGTGCACAGCGAGCCGGAGCCAAATGACAAACATGGCTGTGATGATTTTATAGAGCCCCAGTATCAGAAAGGACAGAGGTAATTAGGAAAATTATAAACATAGCTGGTGTCTTCTGTCCGGCCACACAATCTGGGCATGTGTCTGCTGGGGTGCTGCTCAGCACCCGCCTTCAAATTCTGGTTCCAGGCATGTCTTAGAAGATGTGTCCGTGTGACTGAGGCTGAGGGCATCTGATCTCTTGGGTGCCCGGTGCCGCACATGGTGCTGGGAAGGACCCCAACTTGGCTTGGCTGCCAAGCTCCATTCCCTCCCTCTCCTCTGTCTTTCGCTTCCCCACCTCCTGAGAGGAAGTTCGCTTCCCTTCACTTTCACTTTGGAGATGTGAGCTGCGAATACAAGCATCTACTTGGGGGTTGACAGATGCCAGAGATTTGTGTTCCCAGAGCCCATGGGTTCATTCCCTCTCACTCCCTGCCTGCCTCTGGGCTGGGGCCTCAGATGCAGAGCTGAGTTCAGGGAGGAAAATGGAACTTGACCCAATGGCTGAAGTTACCTGGGTGGGTAGGTGGTTGGTCAGGGAAGGCCCCCCGAGGAGGCAGTGCTCAGTGGAGACCAAGGTGTCGAGAAAGATCCAGGCACTCAAAGGGCTTCTCCAGGTAGAGAAACAGAGCAAGGTCCCAGGGGAAGGATGGAGTGGCTGGGGGGAGGGAAGGGCAGAGACCAGCTCCTGGTTTGCTTGAGACAGTCCTGGTTTACTCCCACTGTTTCAGCAGAATCGTTGATAACATCCCTTTTGAGCCTCAGAAAAGTCTCTGATGGCTTAATAAATGACACGGTTACCCTACTTCTAGGGCACAGGAAGAAATCTAGTTTTCATATATTTCAACTGCAATGGGAAGCCACTGGAGAATTCCAATCAGGGGAGTGAGAATACCAGACTTTTTCCTTCATTCAGCAAATATTGACTGAGTGCTGGTGTCTCCTTGGCTCCAGGACATAGCAGTGAGCCACACTCAGCCCCTCTGCCCTCGGGAGCTTACATTCCAGCGCTAAAAATGCCGACAAACACCAAACAAAATTAACTGATTCTCTGCCGTTCTCGGTGCCCTCGACAGGTCAGGGTGCCCCGTGAGACAGAGAGAGAGAGACGAAGGCAAAAGAATGCCATGCTGGCTCGTTTTCTAAATTTAATCATCGGAACATCATAAGCTACTTCTCATGAAGTCCGCTCCCAAATTCACCCTCGAGGGTGATCTCCTCAGGGAGCCACATAGAGCGTGGGTCTCACCCACATGCGCAGGCTTCGGTGGTCAGTGAACCCAGCTGTGTGCCGGCTGCTCTGACTGGGTCCTCCTGCCAGGCCAGGCCTCGGCTCTAGCTAACCAGTCACCATGCTTGTAGAATCCCAGCTCCAATGGCCTGAGCAGACAGGGGCACGTGAAGCTGGCACATCTCACCAAAACTCCTGCCTCTGTGCCCAGTACTCAGGCATAGAGCTGAGTGCAGTCGGGAAGACAAACCATGAAGGGGTGTGGCTTCAGGCATGGCTGGATCCATCAGCCAGACTATGTCATCGAGAGTCCTCTGTCACCCCTGCCATCCTTCGTGCCAGCTCAGTCTCCTGTTGGAGGTTGCCAGTAACTCAAGGCCTCCAAACTGACACCCAGCAACCCAGAACAGAGCTCCAGTCTCTGAACGGTTCCATCTAAAGTCCTGGAATTGGATTCTGTTGGACCATAGGCTCCTCACTGAACTAGCCACTGTACCCAGGAGGATGGAGGAGGCAAACTGGCCAATCCTGAGTCATGTCCTTGCCAGCCCCCATCCCCAACAAACAGTTTGGAAGAGGGTCAGCCCCACCCACACTGCATGGAATGAAAGTGGGGGAGGGGAGGTTCTCCAAGGAAAATCTGGGTGCTGTGGCTGGAATGAGAGAAGATGAGGCAGGCAAAGCAGCTAGGGTCCACTGTGCTGGCCACTCGCCCTGGGAAGACATGGAACCCATGCAGAGTGAACCTTCTTTACCATTGCTTCCAAAGGAAAAAGCAAGTCCACGATCCTGGGGGAGGAAAGTGGTAAGTTTCTGGAATCGGCCAATGTGATTCCGATCCCACATTTGGTCCTGACTTCTGCCCTGCCCCAGGCGGCCATCAGTCTCTCCCAACGGGCAACATCAGTCCCCTGGGCCCCAGGCTGTCCATGGGATCTGTAACTCCAGCCCGAGGAGGTGGGGCTGCGGGGGACACGGAAGAGACTGCAGAGGGGATCTAGGCAGAGCCTCTCCCTCCTGGTCCCACCCAACACCTGCCTGGGAAGAGATAAGGCCTCGGAAGCCAGGGCCCTGCTCCTCGTGGGCCCCTGGACCTCCATGGCCCTAGCCCTTCTGAGTCCTCCAGCCCTTGGGGTGGGGATTCTGCCTCCTGATCCCTGGGACAGAGCTGGGGGGAGTAGTCCTGGGTGGGGGGTGGGGCTTGCTGGCCACAGGGGAGGTTAGGAGAGGACTCCTGCCCTTCTGGCCTTGGGGAAGGCTTTCAAAGGAACAGGTTGCCCCTCGTGCCCCTCATCACCTATACTCAAGGATCCTGCTTGATGGTGGGGAAGGAGAGCCTCCCACGGAGCACCAATGGCAGGCATATGCTCTCTTAAGTCTTTCCTTGTATCCCGTCAGCTGCTCCGCGGCTGGTCCCACACCAGCCAGTCCATCGGATGTGGGGTGGGAGGCTCTCCGAGGACCTTTGGCCCTTACCCAGATTCTCAGACTGTGAATGGCATTGGCGGGCGAGGGCACGACCCACCATGAGGCCACCACCTTTCACAGCCTCACTCCGGGCCCCGCCTAAAAGAATGGGCAGTGAGGTTAGGGAAGGAGAAAGGAGAGGCCTAGGAGGTGAGCAGCAAGGCCTCTTCTGGGAGGCTGACAGGGAGCTGCAGCGGCCCAGGCTGGTGAGCAGGGAGCCCCGCCAGGGCCCAGGAGGAGGGCTCCCTCTCAGTGTCTTCATGCCACAAGATGTAAAATAATCCCCTCGGCTCAGAAAAACACAATTTTATGGCTGTCTGACTCATTTCCCACAAAGCTAGGTTCACCCCCCCACCCTACCCCACGTGTAGAGCTTTTGTTTTGAAAAATAAAAAATATGTTGAAAATTTCAAGATGACTTTTAGCCATAAATAGTTCCCTTCCTCACCCTAGTCCCAGGCCCCCCTCACCTAATTTCCCAAACACTGGCTGCCAGAGCCTTGAGGGCGACCCAGTCCAAGTGGGTGTGAGATGACTCCGGGCAACACAACCCCCAGGGCCGGGCCAGCAGATGCCCGCTGGGCACTGAGATGGGCCAAGGGGCCCTCTGGGGAGGGAGACCTCCCTGGCATCTGCTGCCATGCCCCAGATTCTTCAGTTTTGGGGTCCCAGCTGGGCCCCAACAGCACCACTACCAACTCCTAGCCTTGTAGTCTCTCCAGGTCTGGGTCCCTTTCCATAGTTTCCAAGACGCAGGTAATGTCCGCTCGTGGCTCTCCATCCTGACACTCTAGGCGCTGGGGGTTCCACCGGGTGACCTCAGACACCCAGCTGGGACGTACCCCCAGCTCCTGCTGCTGCATTGCTCCTCCCCAGGTCGGTGAGGCGTAGCACCAAGTCTCACTACCCCTGGAACCCCACAAGGGAAGCATAGGGGTCCTCCAGTCCCCCAGATACATCAGGATTTTTGATTGCCTGCCACATACTGGGGCTTGTCCTCCTAGCTGCCCCCGACTCTGCCATTCCTTTAATTTCCCAACAATCCATGGGTACTGGCAGCCCCGTTTCTCAGGCAGGGAACAACGGCAGACAGCACATGACCCGTGTCAGCTGAGGGAAGCCTCATGCTTCCTGCTGACTCCCCGACCGCCCAGGAAGAGCACCCATGTCAGAAGCCCAGGGCTCGGATGCAGGGCCATCCCAGGAGGTCCCGGGTTTCTGGCACGTGGCATGGACACACCTGGAGGACACACTGGCCTCAGAGCTAGCCTCCCCTCCCCGCTATGCAACTGCTGCAACTTGGTGCATTCAAGGCCCTCCACGCTCCGCCCAGGTGGTCCACACGCATCACCACCCCACCCCCCATCTTCCCAGACAGCAGCCTCTGGAAGCCTCCTAAGGTGGAGGAGCCAGGCAGGGGCACCAATCAACACCAGCATGCATTGACCTGGGAGCCCCAGCCAGGCAGGAACCTGCTACTCCTGAGCCAGGCACCCCAGCCCATGGACTCAGGCTCTTCAGATCCAGGATGAGACAGAGGCCCTATCCTTGACTGCAGTGAGCCCCACTGAGGCCCATGACAATGAGCCTGTGGGCCTCTAGAGCAGGGCCTCCAGAGAGCTGTCCAGGCTGTAGGTCTGCCCACGGTCCGCTCTGGGGTGCACCCCAGGTTCCTGGCTCCCCAGGGCTCCGGACTCCCACCTAGAAGCAGGAAGTAGCTGCAGGAAGAACAGCAGGAGGGCGGGGGCGTCTTACTGTCAGGGGCTCTGCCAGGAGGACCCTGGGGGGAGCTAGGGACGGACATGGGGGGGTTGACGGACATTGGGGTCCCCCAGGCTGGCTGGGCCATGGGCATCAGGGGAAGGGCCAGAGGTGATCTGGACTTCCTTAACCACGAGAAAAATGACTCAGCTAAATTGAGGAAGATTTCCGTTTCGGCAGACTACTTTTTCCACTATGGTAAGAGCTTTTACCCACAAGCTCCAGAGGAGCTGGGTACCCCAGAGAAGGGTTTGGGGAGTTTCGATTTGAATAGTCAATGCTGATTCTTAATCATTATTTTGAAAAGATAGCTCTTGGTTTTCCAGCAGGTGGCTGGGTCCTGGGGAGCGAAGCCAGTTTGTGTGTGTGTGTGTGTGTGTGTTTGCAAGCAAGTGCATATTTGTGCCTTGAGGACGCTGGGGCCCAGGAAGAGGGAGATTTACAGGAGCATTTCCCTTTGTTGGCAGGCCTTGCCCAGGTCTGCAGAAATGACCTGGATTCTCCAGCCCTCTGAGCCTGTTGGCCTGAACAGGGCTATGGACTGCCCTGACTGAGGGCTAAGTGTGTGCCACGCAGCAGGCTGGGCACTTACCCACATTACCCCACAGCTCTGGGAGCTGAGGCCCACTCCAGATATTAGCGGAGAGTCCAAGAGGAAAAGCCCCCATCGGACACCTGGCCAGATGTGAACCCAAGCAGCCTGTCACTGCTGTAGATGGATCGTTGTCTGCCCTCCCCCCTTCCCCCCTCTGCCGCCACCCTCTTTCCAGCTCCTGGCATCTCCTGACACTGCCCAGAGTCACCTGCTGTAGCAGCCAGCAGCCCTGGACACAGCGAGGGCCAAAGACTTCTTTCTAGGGGCCTGGCTCAAACCCCAGCCCATCAGTGATCAGAGGCTGGGCCTGGCCCCGGTTGGGGCATCTCCACTGCAGCCCTAGTTCCCACTGTGCAGCCCAGCCCCTCGGCCAAGGCAGGCTGGGTGGCAATGGGTCCTTCCAAGAGTGGAGGGTCCAGCCCTGTCCCTGCAACTTCCAACCTAAGGAGGATGAAGGCCAGTGGCTTTGGGCTCCCCTCACTTCTGGTCCAGCCTAGGAGAACTTCCTGGAGGCAGGTGCCAGCAGGCTTTGGCCAGGATGGCAGCAGTGAGCTCAGCGAGGGCCCCTGGCACAGTGACTGCCCTGCTGGAAGGTGCTTCTCCCATCCCACTGGATGGAGGCCCTTGTGTCTGCTTCCACTCTGGTAAGATCCGCATATATGAAATGCTCCCTGTTTCTTGCTCCCCCTTATGGGGCAGGCTCTTCCCTGAGGCCTCACTGAGGGGATGACAGGATGTGGGGTTTCTCTTCCCACTGCACTGCTGGCTGGACCTGGCTTCTCCTGGGGGCCCCTCCACATCCTGCTTCACCCTGACTCCTGCTCTGAGTGGTGCTCAGTTGCCCTGGGAGGGGGGGTGAGGAGGAGCCTGGCCCCAAGCTCCAGGGATTTCAGGGAACAGAGCTGGGCCTGACCAGTGTGGCCCTGCGGCTGGGGCAAGGGTTCTGCCTGGGGCCAGGACACGTGTCCTGGCTCCGTGGCCTCCCCACGGCCCAGCCGTCTGGCCAGTCTCCAGCCAAGCAGCAGGGGCTGCGGCAGCTGGGGGAGGAGGCAAGGCCTGCAGCCCCCCTGGGTTGCTGGCAGTTCCAGGGCAAAGGGCGAGAGGGCTGTGGCCAGAGTGGGGAAGCAGGGCAGGGAGCAGCTTAAGATGAGGGCCCAGTGGATGACCGCGGGGCTTGAGCTCTAGGGCCTGGCCCCTTTCTCGGGTGCCCCTTCCAGGAGACAAAATGAAAGCATTAGAGAGAGGAGAGGCCGGGAGGCAGAAATGGGGAAGGGGCTGAAACAACCCACGGCCAAGGCAGGGAAAGGAAGAGGAACAGAGAAAGAGAGCAGCAGAAGAGCCGCCTGGCAAGAGCTCCTACCCAGCTGGTCCCGCTGCTGGTGTAGAAGGCAGAGGCCCAGGGGTCAGGCAGGACCTTGGAGGTGGGGTTCCCTACGTATTACCCCTACTCCCTGCCCACACAGAGGGCCCCTACCTTCCCCACCCTAGAGCTCACAGCAGATAGTGATCTGAGAGCGTGTCACGTTTGTGCCGTGTGTAAGCATGTGCGTGTGTCCTCGTGTAAGAACGGTACATACCGTGTCTGAAGCCCCCTGCCTCTGGGACTCACGACTGCCACAGTAGACGCAGCTGAACACCAGGACGAGGCCCTTCCCCGAGCCCAGCTCCATGAGGCCCATGAGGCCAGCCCTCCTTGGGGGCCCTAGGGAGCTTCAGTGGGGCTGAGTCTCTGCTCCTCCAGAGGCCCAGGTGTCCTGCCCACCCTATGGTGGAGCAGAGGAGGTGACCCCTTCTCCTCGGGTCATCCTCGCCCAGTGGTCCTTGGGCTCCCAGGAACCACGCAGTCCCAGGTAGACAGAGGGCCCAACTGACAGAGACTCCTGACTCGCAAGTGTGCAGAACCAGCTCCAGGCCTCCGCAGGGGGCAGACACTCAAAGGGCTCCCACAGTGGGCCACAGAATGTTTCTTGCATGCAAAACTC